GAATGACGTAGTTCATTCGGTCGTCTTATCCATAAACGACGGGAAGACAGAATTGTTTTCGAGCTCTATCCCTGACCAAGGATGGCCGTCAACTTGAAGAAGTAGACAGTTCCAACTACTGCGGGGCGAGGCCGCTGCCGAACAGGCAGAAAAAAAAGACGAGTGAAGTTCACCGACTTCGTCTCAAATGAGACAGTTCACACTCGCTGCGGCAATATCGCGAGAATACCTCAGACCATCGAGAAAGATGAGCACGTTCTCCTTCGTCTGTCTCACGAGCTCACTTATGCTGCCCTTGATCCGGCGCTGCTGTCCATTTGGAAACGCCGAAGAGTTCAACCGAAGACCTGCCTCGACACAGTTTGTCAAGACATGGAAGTGGTTCTTGGACCTTTGGTATTCGGTCTCCGTCATTGGAGGAAAGAATGGGTTAAGCTATCCAGATCTGCTGCCGCAAATCGTCATGCGTAGAGGTACAACACGTGACATCGTCGAAGCCCGCTAGATCACAGTCCTATCAAGTACAAGCAAGTAAAACAGCTAAAACGGCGATCTCTATGGAGCAGGCCTCAAACGTTGATGATAACTGGGAGTTGCATCAACTTATTCGCCAGGTTAGTGGTAAGGTATCGACACCTAATGACTTCGTTTGCAATGAGAAAGTCGGCTTTATCGCCTACAACTCGGCCAAGCTCGATCGTGGGCACTTCAAGCAAATTCCGAAGTTTGACGAGCAAACCATCACATGCATTCTTTGGTCTGCAGCTTATGTAGTGTCATACGATCCCTTTCTGAGGGTATCCATTAGCGGACACCTGGCCCCACTAGATGATTGAGCAAACATGGAGAAATGAGGTCATCATTGTTGATTGGGGCTCGGACATTCTCGTGCTTGTCTTCAAGAATGGAGCTGAGACCAAGTACGAAAACTAATTGATGTTACCGCATGTGTCTTTGCTGTTTTCGTTCTCAGGCTATTCCAGACTGTGCCTGACTGTAGGACTGAGGAAAGACTAATATGTTTGGGCAGGGTTTATTGCGAGTCTACAAAGAATACAGAAAAGGTTTTGTTCGCAGTCTCCTCAGGCCAGTTGTTGTTGTTGTTGTTGTTGTGTGCCTGCGCGGGATTCGCGGGAACATGGCGCCTTTCCTTTGTTGCCTGCAGCCAATCAGGGAAACGCTGCACATTTATTGGCTTGAAGCTCTCGCGCGACCCGACCGGGAACGTAAGGCAGATAACGCGGGCGGCATTGCGGCGGATTAACCAGGAGCGTGAGAGGTAGATTGTCACGCGCGAGCACGCAAAGGCACAATGAATCAGCACAGTGACGCTAATCACGGACATATTCCTTACTTCCGGTATAATTACCGACGGCCGCCTGTTTTGTTGGCTCGGCCGCTGCGTTAAACTCCGTTCGTTGTTAGTCCTTGTGACGGATAATGCCGCGGAGAATGTACCCGCAAAAGATGATCGCAACGGTCACGGCCTACTGTCGCTCCACAGGTTCGGATGTAGCACAATCTTTCCCGACCGTTCGCCGTCCGATATGGTGTTCGAGAGGATTGTATTGTGTCGCCCTGTCCGGTAAACTACGCCAGTAATCGAATTCTCGAAAGGGCACAGCAC